CAACCACTTCATTAGCTCTGGAGCTACTTGTACTTGTCCTCCGCTCTTCCTCAGTAGCATGTTGGACACCTTTCAACCTGAGGGGCCCATCTTCCGGCGTCATATCTTTTAGCCTTTTGTTTCTGATCATGGGGTGTTCTTGGCAAAGATACTGGAGTGGCATTGCCATTTCCTACTCCAGGTGGATTGCGTTTAGTCGGAACTCTCCACTATGTCCTTTCCGTCTTGGGTGTCCCTGCACCGCATAGCCCATAGCTTCTCTGAGTTACTCAAGCCCCTTCGCCACAACAAGGCAGCAATCCACGAAGGGGTCCTGATGTGACACTTCCATCCAAATCTAAACAGCCAAATCACAGGATCGATGCATAGTATATAGTTTAAAGAATCAGAAAAGGCAGATGATGCTAACCCAACTTGTCCTTATTTATTTATATTTATTGATTACATATTTATTATATTATTTTCCAATTTCGTTCACTTCTGGTATTTCAGGACATCCAAGGGCAACTGGCAAAGTATTACAAAATAGAGAGAGCTAAACTGCTATAGTATCCCATATGGAGGGACTTCCTCCAGACACCTCCCCCCCTTTAAAGGTGACTTCTCCCTACTCCACATATGTTCTCCAGACTGCTATTACACAACCAAGGTGTTCTATTATCATATGTGATTTAGGTTGTTATAGCTGTCTCTCACACACACACTCTACTAGCACAAAAGCAAACTAATCTCTCAGTCTTACATACAAGTCTTTTTGTAATATCAGAACACCATGAAATTTCCATATTTTAATTTGCACAATTCTTACCCTCTTGCACTGGGCTCCCAGTATGGTGCATATAAACCTGAGAAAGCTGGGACAAAGTAGCAGCCATAAGAAGTGCCCACATCAGCAGCAAGTTTTTCTAAAACCAAATGCAAAATAAAGTACAGCAGAATTAATGGTCATATTTTTAATGTTTTATCAACCAGGTGCTTAGTGCATATGATATTTTACAGTTATGCTGGATTGCAATTCCTCAGATCCCAGAGAAGTGAGTACTCTGGCTGGGCCTAATAAGAATTGAATTTCAAAACTTCTGGAAAGCACCAGGTTGGGGAAGACTGTTTTACTACCTGGAAAGTATCATGTAGAATTCTCTAACAAAGAAATTAGGAGTCCTTATTCTAAATATGTGTAATAATGTATCAGTGAACAACAGCATTCTTGTACCTCTGCCAATATATTAATATTTGTAAGACTTCAATTGCCTCCTAAAAATGAAAGCCTTGTAGCACAAAATATTATACTCAAAACCTATGTCTGCCTGAATTTAGCAGTACTCCTAGGAAAATGATTAGAAGATATACATAGCTGTTCTGGATGAAATCTTGTTGTTTAGCATAGTAAGTTGCAACTAAAATAGGACTATTAAATCAACTGATTCTATGGAGTTGATTAACTATTTTGCCATTGATTCAATAGACCTACTCTAGTTGCAACTTACTATGCTAAGCAGCAGGATTTCAGCTATTGACCTATAATAACTGAAACTCTGTACTATATAGGCAATTTTTAAAAAATTTCTACTGTTATTGGCAACAACTTGACCGAATATCCTGATTTTTGTCTTCTGTCTGAAAAATGAACACAATGAAAACTAATAAAATAGCCAGAATTCTATTGGAGTTTCATGGCTTATTATAACTAAATTACAAGCTTGTGGTCTGGTGTGTGTCTCAGTTCCATTCCTGGCCATGGATTTGATTGTGCATTCTGATACAGCCTGATGCCTTCTAAATTAGCTGCAACTACAGTGGTGTCCCGTATAGCGAGGTTAATATTCTGGCTATCTTTTTAAGTTCTTACTCCTAGTAGTATATTGGGCTACTATATTTACAGAAGTCAAGCATATGCCACGTTAGCATCCCTTAACCAACAAACAAGAAGAAAAATATATTTCCAATTTTAAAATCCCAGGAAAGAGAAAGACCACTGTCTACTAAAATACTTAAGACAAGAATGGCTAACTCACCAACTTCATCTGAAGACTGTGCAATACCAAGGTTATCCCTCAACCAACGAACAACAGCGCCTGCAATGGCAACAGAACCCTAAAACAAAGAGGTAGACCAAAAACACTAATTTGTTATTTGGGTTGCATTGTCAGAGCACAACACTGTGAAAGGCAAATTACAAACATGGAGGCATACATTTTTTGCTACTCCAGAATTTTGAAACTTGCTGGGCTCACAATGATAGTCACTTCAAACTTTGAGGTACATGTCAAATAACTGCACAATGCTGAAGATGGGGAGAGAATAACAGTTGTGATTCCTGGAACATTTATCATTATGTCAGGGACTAAAACAAAGTGAATTTAGACTGGTTCATACCCACACGGTCTTCTTTTTATCCAACCAGATTATGATGTGTGCTTGTAAAACAGCCCTCACAACAGATAAAATTTTCACACAATGACATTGCATCAAACACAATGACATTGTCATCATGACTTTCTCCTCCCCTCCACCCCTCCACAGTACAAAAAAAAAAAATACAAAACAAAACTGTGCTGGAAAATTTCCAAGGTGTCTATGGGCAATTTAGGGTGTTCCTATGTTCCAGAAGGGGTGGGAACGGCTCCTTTCAATACTACAAACAGGAGCAGCTTGCTGGATTCTAACTAATATCTCCAATTTCTGCAAAATTCATTCATACATTCAGGTGTAAGTCATGAAGTGTAAAACAACTTCATACAAAAACATACATGTTTTCTTCGAACCACGAACACTGACATGAGAGAGAATTCACAAACCTAATCTATATCTACTACTATATTGCAGCGGTCCAGTGGAGCGTATAGCAGAAAACAGTAAGACACAGCAATGAATTATAATCATAGAAACTATAACATAAAATAAATAGTTATGCCTACCTCTAAAGCATAATATACAGGTTTGTCTCTGCCCAGTTTGTAAGCCACTGTTGTCAGAAGACCATGCTCTGAAAATGCGGGCTAAAAATAAAACAACAGAACACACTGACAGTACAGCTACTTCATAGAGATGGGAAGCACGTATATATCAATTTTTATCTTAGGGGAAATATTTATGAGAGATAATTTATACTTTGAAATTCTGGAATAAACAATAGTACTGTGACTTCTATCAGATGCATATTTACAAGCCTCACAGATTTATGTAGCAAAAAATATACCTATTAGAAGACACTTGCCAGTATACAAGTACTGTTTTCCAGTTATCTTATGCATTGAGTAACTAACTATAGCTTTGTAGCATGAAACATTTTTTCTTTAGTTCACCTTATGAAACTTATGAGCTTCTTTTAAATTTATACAGAACACTCAACCAGAATGTGTTTCTTTTCTCCTCCCCCCCAAGAGTGTTACACAGCAGAATTTGTTTCTTTGCAAAAAGTAGGTATTTGCCAGTAATGCTCACCTTTTGGCCTGTATTGCAGAGTAAAAAGCAGCCTGTTCCATACCTGTAGTGAAGATGACAAAAATTGCTGATTTGACACAGCACCAAGTAGAAGAGACATATAATCAAGAAACGTATTCTCAGTTATATGAACTACAACACACATATGCCACAAACTTACAAGGAATAACAAAACAGTAGCAAAAGAATTCAGTAGAGTAGAAATCAAATTCTACTGTATATAACTGGTAATAATCAAGTACCAAGTTTCCTGAAGATTGGCAAAATCATAGTTAACCTGTTAGAAATGAAGTGGAGAAGCACAGCAGCTCACCCTCCTCCTTGTTCTCCAGCCACACCTATATCCTTGGCTCATTCAAAATTAGTAGCTAAATGTGCAGTTAGGTTATATAGTTCAGAGCAGATGTTTTAATTACTACATTCACTCAAGAACTGGCCACATTGTTTCAACCCAGTTTGCACTAAAATGTGTTCTGCAATCCTCTACTAAGATTGAGCCTACATATTTAGTTTGCTCACAAGTCAGCCAGAGTAGAAACAACTTGTCCAACCGTTGGATGTACTGGATGTATATTTTCTATTTTAGAGACGAAACAAAAGAGCTGAAAGGAATGAGCTGTGCCTTAAAAGGGATGAAGGGCCACCCACCAACCCCTACAATAAAGCCAGAAATAAAATTCTGGAAACCAGAAGTAGGGTGTCTTTCCCCTCCACCACATTTGAGGGTACTAATGCAATCCCTGCTATGTTCTGGGGGTGGGAAATTTCCCTACAAAGTTGTCTATTCTGACCACCTTATCCATCTCCTGACAAATCTATATGTGGGACAGGAAGCAACAGTTAGAACTGGATAGGGAACAACTGACTGGTTCAAAATTGGGAAAGGAGTGCAACAAGGCTGTATACTGTCTCCCTGCTTATTTAACTTATATGCAGAATACATCATGCGAAAGGCTGGACTGGAGAAATCCCAAGACGAAATTAAGACTGCCAGAAGAAATATCAACAACCTCAGATATGCAGATACCACTCTGATGGCAGAAAGCGAGGAGGAATTAAAGAACCTCTTAATGAGGGTGAAAGAGGAGAGTGCAAAAAATGGTCTGAAGCTCAACATAAAAAAAACTAAGATCATGGCCACTGGTCCCATCACCTCCTGGCAAATAGAAGGGGAAGATATGGAGGCAGTGACAGAGTTTACCTTCTTGGGTTCCATGATCACTGCAGATGGAGACAGCAGCCACGAAATTAAAAGACTCCTGCTTCTTGGGAGGAAAGCGATGACAAACCTGGGACATCATCTTAAAAAGCAGAGACATCACCTTGCTGACAAAGGTCTGCATAGTCAAAGCTATGGCTTTTCCAACAGCGATGTAGGGAAGTGAGACCTGGACCATAAAGAAGGCTGACCGCCAAAGAATTGATGCCTTTGAATTTTGGTGCTGGAGGAGACTCTTGAGAGTCCCTTGAACTGCAAGGAGAACAAACCTATCCATTTTGCAGGAAATCAACCTTGAGTGCTCACTGGAAGGACAGATCTTGAAGCTGAGGCTCCAGTACTTTGGCCA